GCCCCCTATGGCTATGGTGTTCAGGACCACCACCTTCTTCCTTCTTGGCCCCCTATGGCTATGGTGTTCAGGACCACCACCTTCTTCCTTCTTGGGGACCCAATGGCTATGGTGTTCAGGACCACCACCTTCTTTCCTTCTTGGCGCCGTATGGCTATGGTGCCAGCCTTTCTCTCTCTCAGCCCAACCTTTCTACTGCGCCGACCTTCTTCCCAGCGCCCAAACTGCCGTGGCGCTGCCATGGGACTTTCCTTGCAGCCTAGCCGTTGCTGCTGCTTCTGCCTGTCAGCTGAAGCCACTCCTTCCTCTCCCGCTAGCTCAGACGACTATGAGCGCCCAGCAGTCTGTTCGTCAAACTACCTCCGACCAAGACATGTTTGACTTGCCCAGGCCGTTCTTGAACCACCAGTACTTCAGAGCCACATTTTCCAGATACGGATTTCTGCTGCACGCCTATGAAAAAACAGCTGCTCTTCTGTTCAAGCGGCGGGCCCCTGGCATTCTGGAGTCTTCCGGTTTCGGCCTTGCCCTACCAGGTCCCACACAACATCCCCGGGCCCAATCCCCCTGCCCTGACCGGGTGTTACCCCTTTGAGCCTCATCCCAGGGCCCATCGTCCTCTGCTGTCTGTCTGCAGGACCTCAGGTCCTCGCACAAACAAACACATGCGCGCGCGCGCACACACACATGCACACACACACACACACAAAAAGAGAGGTGCCCACATTTTTGTGCTGCAAGTATATTTTGTCTGTAATACCTCACCATCCACCGGGCAATGCTTGCACTGCGCTTTTTTTTTTTTTTTTTGCACTGGTTCTCCCATTGTTTGCAAGAAGTGCTGCAAGTCCCAAAAAAAAAAAAAAAAAAAAAAAAAAAGAAAAGAAAGAAAAGAAAAGAAAAGAAAAGGGCTGCAAGCATTGGCCTCAATTTGTAAACGCTGGAAATAGTAGAAACAGCGAAACTTCAAATGCCGTTTCCACTTCCTAGTGGTTGGTTATGGTTCTGCTTTGATTGCAGCAGGTTGTGGGTTCGGTTCCTGCAGCGAGCGAGCTCACTTTATCTGGTTGATTTTTTTTCATTTTTTTTTACAAAAAGACTTGCTCATTTGATTACCCACACCCAAAAAGGGAGATATCCAGTTGATTTTTTTTAATTTTTTTTTTTCTCCAAAAGAGATTCACTTTATTAAACCCAAATGAGATTTTAGCGACATCATGGACTGTGGAGCTTCTTGGAAAACTAGAAAGAAAGGAAAAAAAATGAACGCACAATGTCGCACATGTACTACTTTTTCAACCAAATACGATGCCCGGTCATTATCGCTGTACTTAGACTGAAAGTTGCACCAAATGCGGCTATAATGACCGGGCGTTCTATTTGGGTGAAGACGGTAGTTTGGGAATTTCAAAATGTTTGAAGTCACCGCCGTTTCCGTGCGTTTGGTCGGGTGATTCTCACAGCAGGGGCGAGGTCCCACTAGCAAAGAGGATTGGACTAAGCTCCTGAATCTGGATGTGTGTTATGCACAGATGCAGAAATGCCTTTCGATCTCGATTTTCTGCACTTCTCGATGAAAAACGTCCAGATTCAGGCATTCAATCCAATCCTCTTTGCTAGTGGGACCTCGCCCCACTAGCGGAGGGTTCAACAAAGTTCGAACAGATGTCTCACAAATTTCTCTCTCACATGATGAGGCCTCGGCGGTAAAAGGGGAGGGGAGGAGGGGGGGGGGGAGGGGATTTTGTGTATTTGCCACCCAAAGAAAGAACAATAAAAACTTCAGTAAACACACACACAAAAAAAAAAAACACCCAAAAGTCATCCAAGCGATGAAAACTGACAAAGAAAGCAGCAAACAAAAAACAAAAAACAAGGTAGATGAAAGCTTAAACTAGGTTCTCCAGCCACACTGAGGAAGACAAGAAGGGAGACAAGAAGGAAGGGCGGGAGGAAGGGAGGGAGGGAGGAAGGAAGTATGTGCACTCGTACCTGAGCGTAAAGCTCTTCTCTTACAGGGCAGATCCCGGTCTCCCTTGCCTGTCGCTGCTGGAGCTGCTGGTCCAGTTTTTCCTGAAATGGAAAGCAAAAGGTTCTGAGTCTGGATATTCAAAAACGTGTTTAAATGATGTTTTCTTATGTTATTCCCCCCCCCCCTCCCCCGAGTCCTGAAAAACAAAACTAAAAAACCTGGACTAGTAAAGTACTAAAAGACTCAGGGCATACTCACATTGGCACTATTTTAAGTATTTTACTTAGTTCTGGAAGGGATTGGGGCCAGATGCATACAGGTCGTGCCGTAAATGCGGTCAGATACATGTAAGAGAGATAAATATATATATATATATATATAAAAAGAGAGAGTGCCAGTGTGAGTATGCCCTCAAAGACTCAAAGTTACAATGCATTGGATATTCCTCGTTTCACTCTTCACCGCCTTCCATCCCCGTTCCACACCCCCCTCCTCGGGCAATGTCGCATGCCTATCCGGCATCGATCAGAACCGAGAAATGACCTCACAAAAACAATGCAAAAATAGCACAGCGGAAGACTGTAATACCAAGATCTCACACAGTATGGACAATGACAGGACCTCTCTCTCTCTCTCTCTCTCTCTCTCTCTCTCTCTCTCTCTCTCTCTCTCTCTC